TGGAGTTGGGGACAGAAAGTGTAAACAAAAGCAGACGACAGGACATAGTTTGAGAGCAGTACGTGGGGTGAATGGAAATAAATTAAGAGAAGAAAATTTTCCGTCGCTGTTAGGTTTCGAACCCGGGACCTATTGAATGAGAGATGAACACCGTAACCTCAAGACCACGAGAGCCCCATAGGGTGGTGTTTAATATACATCCCAAAGAAAGAAACTTTATGTTACGTAGAAAAAAGGATTTCCTTAACTTAAAAAAACTTTCGTTTGTCGCTGACCTTGTCCTACAGGCGTGACGTGCAGAGTTAAGTGCGCATTGGCAACTAAACACTTGAACAAGATTTTTTTTTATATCAGGAACAGACGAAGGCGAACCAGCTATAGTGACTTGACACGTTAAAAAGTAATTGTTTTTGTTGTTGAGAGCTTATGAAGTTGTCAGTGCCCGGCACAAGTGGATGGCAGGTAAGGAACATCACTCTCCACAAGACGGGGGAGGTAAGTGCGAGGAAGTGACGTCATGGATCTCATTTTTCGGGAAAATTGCTAGGATCCAGGGTTAACACAGGTTAAACATTAATGTCAAACCAGTTCCCTGACCTTGTTTACTATATTATATAACTCTTCGTTCTTTAGGTCAGTTCATAACGCGATATCTAACTGAACTGCGCTGGTGGAGAGAAATAACAGAAGATAAGTTGGGGCCTGAGATCTTCAGCACAAACTATCTTCCCCCGGGACTCATCTGATTGGAGGCAGGCAAGTGAAACGACAAAGAGCAGTTCTACTTAGCAACGCACAGCATAATCGTATACCATTCTGTGCATACAAAATAATGTGAAGTTCATTCATTTAATCAGCTGCCCCATTGGTTTGGATGCGAATTTTTGTTTAGGGAAAGCCAGGCTTTCTCGACAACGACCGTTCTTGGCTTGCTTATCGCTTTAAAAATAAAGTATGCTATACATTACGTCGTCACCTTGAATGGGCTACAAAAGACAAACAGCAAAGCTTGAACCAAAAGAGAAATTTGGGTTTTATAGTGCGGTCTAAATTCGTGGCCCAACTTATTGTCAAATATTTTCTTAACTATAGAACATTGATTCTCCAACCTTTGCACAACGATTTGTATCAATTTATCTTAACAGATCAACATTTTTGTAAACACCTGCTAGCTGTATTCTAGCAGTTTCCTTAATAAATACTAGATAAAAAAATCCAAAACGGTAGTTTGTACATATTTTAAAACGTTTACAGCTGGAGCAATATCGCTTTTAAAAGCAAGTCCGTCATTCTAATTTTTTTTTTAATCGCAAAATTATGCTTATTGAATGCATGTTTTAAGAACTTTAAAGCAAAAAATGTGTTCAGTACAAAATTATTTCCTGGTAACAAGTTTTGCAACCTTGTAAATACTGATATTAACAATCTGTGACATAGGCCTTATGCGTAAGCAAAATCTGTGTGAGTAGCGGGAAGTAAGGTGAAAAATCCCATTTTCTGCGTGACATAGATTTATAGTATGTTATATAAAATTATGAAGAAAATCCTTTTAACATATTCTCAATTATTGTGGAAAAATACGACTAAGCTAAGACAAATTGATACAACCTGCTGTGCAAAGTAAGGGCGACGTTAAAGATATATTTGAGGATAAGTTGCGCCTCGAAGTTTTGACCGCACTATATGGCTTTTACTCAGAATGCTTGTGATGAATCAAGCGCAGAGTCAAAACCGTTCAAAGAGGTTTTTTAAAAATATTTTTTTTAAATGCTGTTTTGAAACTGCGTTCCTTAATGAAGCAAAATCTTCTCCTCTAACTTGCAAAGTACAAATTGTAATGCCTGTTGTGTAGCGGTTAGGCGCTTCGCCGTCGATCGAAGAAGACCTGAGTTCGATTCCTGTTGTTCGAGAATTTTTTAAATAGAGCATCTCGGACTTCCTGCTGCGACGTTGTTTTCCTCTCAGCCCGCGTTGTTCCTGGCAGACAGATCCGAGACCCGCCTCAGAAACTGTCTAAATTGAACCGATGGGACGTTAAACTTCTACATTAAAAATAGATGCAGTCCGTGATTCAAAAACACAACAATTTTGTCAAACTTAAGTAACCTCACCTTTTCAACCTCAATCACAAAAATGTTCACATATTGGTTTTGATCTACAGAACATTAGCTCGGTATGATTTGGAATGTTTAGATTCCTATTTCTCTTTTTTGTTTTTGTTTTTATTGATTGTTTTGGTTTATTGTTCATTAGTTGTTTTTTGTAGATTCCTATTTCTCTTTTTTGTTTTTGTTTTTATTGATTGTTTTGGTTTATTGTTCATTAGTTGTTTTTTGTGGGAATCGTACAGACGCTCCAGATGATGAAGTGCTTCGACTTGTTGAGTGTTTTGCTGGTGGCAACGCTGTTTGCCTCGGTGGCCCCCGCCGTTCTGTCACGTGACAATGTTCTGACAGCTCTGGGTTTGTCTAAGGAGAAGGGAGACATCTCCTGGGAGACCCGCCTTGACCAGGGCGTGGTTCAGTCGACTGACGATGGGGACGATGACGAAGACTCTAACGATGACGACTTGGCGATTCTTGACGCCTTGAGGCAGATTGTGTCCGAGAAGGAAGAAGATGAACTCCTGGAACAGTTGGAAAACCAGCTTGCAAATCTAGGTAAGACAAACACTTTTTCACTTTCGTTTTAAATTGGGCACTTCAAACTACACGTTTTTATTTCATTTTGAGTGCAAAGAAAAACATCTGCACGATAACGAAGAAATGCATGACAGACGAACAGAATAAAAAAAAAGAAAGAAAAGAGGTAGGGCCAACCTGCAACCCGCTAGTTCTATTTATACTCTTAGCAAACGGACAGGTTATCATAAGGTGTCTTCACATGTGTCATATCGATCTAATAGGAATGTTTTCCCAACCTACTCTTCCATTTAGTTTGAAGAAAAATATATTGCGTTGATTGATTGTGACTTGATTCCCTGTACACAGACATAACTTCTTGATTTCCGGTAGAAGTAATGTTCTAGGTCACGTATCTTCAAGATTCTTAGTGTAGGTTTTTTACGCTTCTGTCGACACAATTTAGGCTCTTTTAGGAGTCTGCCTGGCAGGGCAAACCCAGGCAAAAAGGGATTGTACATGTACATCGCAGCAGAAAGACCGAAAAACTAGAGAAAAAAATGAAAAAAAATCCTTCCCACACAACGATCAAACTTGTGTGTCCTATGTACGGCTGTGAAGCACCTAACTGCTACACCACGGACGCAGGTGCCCTAAAGGTTATTAGTTCCCATATCAGTTTATGATTTCATGACTGTATTTCGACTGAGACTAGGAAAGGTCATGATTAAAGTAGGTCCAATCACTGGCTAATTGTACGAAGCATACAAACGTGTACTACGTGAGTGGTACCTGTGACTCAAAATTTGAGAGAGTGATGGAACTGGATAAACTAAGCTCTGTGATCTTTGGAAACTTTTTTGAAACGTCAGATGTAAAGGATTTTACTTGACTATGGGCTAAATGGCAAGTTTCCAATGAAAGCAAATGACTTACAGGCCTGCCCATTTCGATGTCAGAATGAGCCCGTATGCTTATGTGAAAAATGCTTCATCTGGGTCACGTTGTTAATTTAAGGTTTTTTAATGCTCGAAGTTGTTGTTGTATTTGATTGTATGTGTTTTTACGCCCCTATCAACACAATTCAGATCATTGAGAGGGACACAACCTCTCAGCAGGAAGACTGGGATACTCAATTTTCAAAAAAATATTCGCAAGAATCGAACTCGGGTCATTAGATTCTGTGTCCGATTGCAACGCGCCTAACCACTCCACTACAGCCTCTGTTTCGTAAGTCTTGTACGTATTTGTCTGGAATAAAGTATTGAACAATTGCTTGCGGAATATTAAATTAAGAACATATTAATGTATTAGAGTTTGGACATTGTGACTCGGCACATACATTGTTGAATCTTCCAGATGGAGAGACGGACAGCGGCGAAGACGTTTTGCCCAAGCACCGAACCGCCCGCTCTACAAGGTCAAGGACTAGCGCAAGAACAAGTAGCTCCAAAACAAGACAACGGTCAAGAGCAAGATCAAGAACAAGATCAAGAGATAGGAGGAGAGATAGATCTAGAAGCACAGATAGCGCCAGCGATAGAACCAGGGATACAGGCAGAGAAAGAACCAGGGATAGAACCAGAGGCCGGGTGAGGGGAAGAGCCAGAAGCAGGTCACCATTGAGAGAAAGGCTTCATTCCCGTTCCGAGTTACGGGATCGGATCAGGGGAAGGCCAGGGGTAGTATCTCGTCAGGGGATGAGGATCAGAGACACACAAGGTGTGACCAACGTCCTGGACACTGCTACGAATGGAGTCCTCAGCGAAAACATAAATGGCCGCCTGACTCAACAGTACCATAAGTGAGTTGACGAAATATCGAGTTTTCCACAGTCACGTACATATTATTGGTTTAAAATGAACAGGCGTCTGTGGTGCTTTGATATCGTGCACAGAAGACCATAGGGAGCTCTCGTGGCCTAGAGGTTAAGGTGTTCGCCTCTCATTCAAAGGTCCCGGATTCGAATCTGGTTAGCGACGGAAAAATTTTCTTCTCTAAAATTGTCTCCTTTCACCTCCTTTACTTCTCTCTAGCAATGTGCTGTCTTCTGCTTTCGATTCCACTTTCTGCCTCCATCCCCTCACCTCCTTTGCCCCCTCCTTTTCCCCTTCCTCTGGGCTCCTGACTCTTTCTGCCGCCTTTCTGCTGTTACTACTTGACTCCTTTTTACTGCTGTCTTTCAGCCACAACCCTGACCTCGGCCAAAGGCGAACAATCTCGGAGGTCCATGTGCATGTTACGCTCGTTATAGATCCCTTGGTGGTCTAAACTCGATAAGAGTAGGCTTCAAAGTAGCAAAATTCAAACTTTCCTACCAACTGAAAATGTTTAATATGTCCCGCGCGCTCGTATGGCCGTGTGCAGTTATGAGCGCTCAAAAACACTTACCAAGAAAAAGAAAAAAATGACTCACGTTTGACTCCTGTGTAGGGAGAATTGTTCTCGAGTATCTCAATCTTTTGTACTGGTATCCTTCACAATCTGGGTTGGCTCTGACAGAAACGGTCAAGGATTATTATTATTATTATTATTATTATTATATTATTATTATTATTATTATTATTATTATTATTATTATAATTATTATTATTGTTATTATTATTATCATCATTATTATCAATTCCGTGCACTTTTCATTCACATAAAACATATGTTTGCAGGAACGGAAATTTCCTTACCGCCGTGCAGGACTTCAACTCCTTGAATCCCTCTAACATTGCAGACAATACGAACCTGGTAAGCGGAATTTTCCACCGAATAGGCACCCTGCCCGACGGAAGAACGGTCATTGTGCGAAATGGCAGTTCTGGCCAAGATCTCCCCACTCTAGAGATCCGAGACTACACGGACAGTTCAAGACGAAACGAGTATTACGTAAAAGTTAGGTACCACTCTCGTGGTTCAAATACAGGAGGAGCCTAGTTGGCAGCCAAGAGTTGATCGGCTGGAACACTTTTAGTTTCAATAAGAGTGTTACGCCACTTGGAACGAAAATAGGTCATAAAAATGCCAATGATTAGAGGTGTTGCTAAAAAGTAATAAGAAAAGAAAAGAAGGAGGACAGATGAGGACGATAGAGGAGCAAACCACACCAGCCACTGGCCAACCACAGACAGTGATTTATTAATGGATTACTTGAATAGTATAACACAAACAGAAAGCCAGATGTTCGTCAGTATATTATTAGAGTGTTCTTTTAGTAAAGATATGTAACATAGAACACATACATACATACATACAAACATACATACATACATACATACATACATACATACATACATACATACATACATACAAACACACAAACGCGAACACACAAAAAACACACATGCACACAAATGCATACACACAAACGCACACACACAAACACACTTATACAAACAGATACAAAAACACACAAACACGCACACACATAAACACACACATAAACACACACATAAACACACACACACACATACACACACACACACACATATATACACACACACACATACACACAAGCTTCAATCCTAATGATTTGACTAAGTAAAAACTGTAAAATTCAGTTGTATAATGTCGTAACGCTTGCAAGCATCAGCCTACGGGGTGCCCACTAAAAAACAAACGTGTTTGTTTTCAGTTTCAGGCGATCGAGTCGGGCGATCGGCCCGATCCAGCCGTAGTGGGCACCCCGTATTACGCTCCTGTCAGGAATGTTTATCCTTATTTTATTATTAAAGTGTTTTTTGAAACTGCAAGATATTGTTGTTGTTGCTGTTGTTGTTGTTGTTGTTGTTGTCGTTGTTGTTGTTGTTACTGTTGTTGTTGTTACTGTTGTTTTTATTGTTTTTGGTGTTGTTGTTGTTGTTGTTGTTGCTGTTGTTGCTGTTGTTTTTGTTGTTACTTTTGTTGTTGTTACTGTTGTTTTTATGGTTTTTGTTGTTGTTGTTGTTGTTTGGTGATTGTTTCTTCGGTTGACGTTCTTGCTGAAGTCGACCTTCAAAGTTACCATCTTTTCCTGCGTCAATCTCAGAGTTGTTCGAGATCTCTTTCGTTTTGCGAGACATTTTCTCCAAACAGTTGTTCGTTTTGTGGACACTTTGGGGATGTTTTTACTGTCAGCCAGAAATTTTAACAGCAAAAATTCTGGAATATATTATAATAACGGAGCTTTTTTTTTCAAGAGTAAACTCAGTCGAAATTGGAAAGATCAAAAGAGTTCGACAGTCTAAATATCTGCTACATGAGATGTCATTTGTTCCACAGAAATTAAACAAAGAATTGCAATTGCCAAAGACAGTTATAATAAAAATGAATCCAATACTGAAAAATAGAAACTTACACAATGTCAACCAGTGGTGGTGGATAGTGAAGGGCTCACGGGCTTGAGCCCCTACCCCCTCCCTACCCACCACCCCCAACTCTATCCCAAAGTAAATTAAAGTTTCTTCATATGAAACAAGCAGTTGAAACCGTTATGACCGCACGCAATGAACACAGAGTGATCAACTTGGCGGCTTGCTCGCTTATCCAATCACTGCTGTCACCCCTTACAACTATAGTAACCCAGCAGCCAATCAAATGTCTTTAGGGCTCAGCAAAGATGAGCCCTTTTCCCACAGCCCGTCTTTAATTAAACTCATCTCGTAAAAAGGTAGAAGACTGGGAAAAAATAACACTCTACCGAGGGCTTACGCTCTCCTAGCCCTGACAATGGGGTGAAAGTTTACGACACACTTCCCCCCACTGACACAGATACCTATGCGCTCATTGATTCTTTGTTGGGTGCGTTCAACTTTCTCGAATACATGGCCTAATCCAGCTCATAGAAGTATTATGTTTGAAGTGCTGTATGTGCATGTTGGTGTTTGTGTCGCTGAGATTTAACAGTTATAAATCAGGTCGAACTACTTGTAAGGCAACTCTTTCATTACATGAAAACTAATTATAAATCTGGAGGTGAATCGGCTTCGTCCCTACCAACAACAAGAATTTAACTAAGAACAAAGAGATGGAAAACAAAGGCAACTCTTCTCGTTTTCAAACTGCCGTGGCTCACCGTGAGTATAGAAAAATCATCACTGTTTAATCTTATTGCTTGCTATTTGGTGGTAAAGAACTGGAAGCAACCTAAGCCCCTCCCAAATTTTGGTCCACCCACCGCCACTGATGTCTACAAAAAATATGTTTTAAAAGGCTGTGTGCCCCCCCCCCCCCCCCCACCCTTTTCCTATACGGCTATGAATGCTAGGCAATTACCAAATATAGTGAAAATGTAATACGTTACAGTTACAAGCAATAGAAATGTTTTATTAGAAGGCAGTTTAGACTGTTTAGAATTTCATGGAGGGAAATTAAATCAAATGAGTTAATGCTGAAAGACGTTTACTTGATCACTAATAGTAACAACTATTTGAAGGAGACAAATACATTTTCTGGGACACTTGGATTGGCATATAGGCCTTGAACATCTTGCTCTCATGGGAAAAAATTGAAGGCAAACGAAGCAAGGGATAGGCTCAGAGCAAGCTACTCGGAAAACCTAACCAGGCTACATCAAGTACTACCTCGTTTGATTTTTTTCTCCATAGGTTAGGCCCACAGACCTGTAATTGTGAGATTGCAGACGAAAGCAGGCCAATTCATTAGGAAGAAATGTGCAGCAAAACAAATTGCACAAGCTTTACGCCTTCATCGACACTGATTAGATCTTTAGGAAGGGACTGCTTCGACCCTTCGACCAACCGGGTCTAAGAGTGAGAATACACCGTCTCAACAGGCAGACGAAGATAAGATATCAAATAAAAATTCTCTTCACACAGGAATCGATCTCGAGTCTTCCATGTGCTACGGTGAAACTTCAAACCAAAGATCGTTCATAACAAGATAGTTCACTTCTCTCTTTGAGGCAATTAATAAAAGCGTCGCAAAATACACTGGCGCCCTCTTCGATAAATCGCCCGCTTTCCAAAAAAGAGTTACCCTGCTTGTGTGAAAAGCAATAAAAGTGGAACTAACAAGCTGTGCTATTCCTATTCTTCTTCTGGAGAAACGAAGGAGAACTTCAACACAAAGAACGCTGCGCCATCTGAACCAATACGCGGACTTCCGCGGGGAGTCTTTTGGCTGAGTCAACCATCTTGTTATGTACGGTCTAACCGCTACATCAGTGGCGCATGTCTCTCCATTCTCTCTAAAAGAAAAAAAACGGTGCACAGAAGGATAGTTTGAATCCAAACACAGACGTTTTCCATAATGAACTGTTTGGGAATTTCCAAACACACTTGCTTAGCCCGTAAATAAATTAATGTTGTGGGATTCGGGTAGCATTTTAACAATTCTTGATTAGCTCCGCACTTTTTCAACATGTGATATATTATCGTGCAACACAATATTATAAAGGGGGGGGCTCTCGTGGTCTAGAGGTTAAGATATTCACCTCTTATTCAATAGGTCCCGGGATTGAAAGAGGATTGTAACGGAGAATGTTCTTCTCTAAAATTCTCTCCTTTCACATTCTTTCCTGATCTCTAACAATATTTTGTCTTTGCTTTCGTCTCCACTTTCTGTCCCCCACCCCTCACCTCCTTTGCTCCCTTCTCTGGGCTCCTTAGCCCTTCTGCAGCCTTTCTACTGCTAGTCTTGGCTCCTATTGCTGTCTTTCAGCCACACCCCTGATCTTATAGTAGGAGAGATCTACACCTAACCTTCTCGGAGAATGTCGAAAAATCTTGGAGATCCCGTTCATCAGTTGGGCACGTTAAAGATCCCTTGGTGGTCCAAAATCGATAACAATAGGCTTCGGTCGCCATCCGGGCAAAATTCAAAGTTACCTACCTATTGAAAATGTTAAATGTGTCCCACGCGCTCTTATGGCCTTATGCAGTTGCCAGTGCCCGTAAAACACTTACCAAAAAAAAAATAAAAGAATGAAACAAAATTTCAGCTGTGAGATTGTGTTCGAGAAATATAGTCCTTTTTCAATCTTCTCTTCATTAAACACCCTCCCACTACTCTCAGCATCCCCATTCTTGAATTTAATCCACAGCTGTAAAAAAAAAACAACTCCATTCTACAATCTCTCTCTCTCTCTCTCTCTCTCTCTCTCTCTCTCTCTCTCTCTCTCTCTCTCTCTCTCCCTCTCTCTCTCTCTCTCTCTCTCTCTCTATCTATCTATCTATCTATCTATCTATCTATCTATCTATCTCTCCCTCTCTGTATATATATATATATATTATATATATATATATATATATATATATATATATAGGTATGTATTTCCCTCTCTCTCACACTCTCTCTCCTCTCAAGCTCTCCATCATTTTGTTATTCTCTCCATAGAGTCCTATACCCAGCTCTCTTTCTCTCTATCCCCCCTCTCTCTCTCTCTCTCTCTCTCTCTCTCTCTCTCTCTCTCTCTCTCTGTCTCTCTGTCTGTCTCACTTTGTCTGTCTTTTTCTCTCATTTTCTCTGTGCCTCTCTTTCTCTGTCACTGCACTAACAATTGTAGCCAGTAGATTTGGTCCTACGGTTGATACATTTAGCTACCAGAGAGTACCGAGGAAGTTCTCGTCAGGTCCTTCTTTGGGGGGGGGGGGGGCAAATGCTACAGTACAACAGTTCTGTCAATTTTAAGGTATCTTATTCGCGGCAAAGTCGTTTTAATTTGAATTTTGGCACATCTCATTTGCGGCAACAAAGTATCGATAATCGTATTTAAGCCGTACCGATGAGGCATGGGTTTCATTTATGTTAAAAAAAACGCCCGAGATATAGTCACTCAAATTTGGCCTTAAAACCAGGCTTGGCAAAATTGTGCGAAATCAAAGAAACGTAAAAGTGTGTGTGCGCGTATATTGAGGTGCATCAACATTGGTGGAATGGACATGACGTATTAGTTATCTAATGCAAAGAGAATATTGTTGTCTCCGCAGTGAACAGCATCTTCTGGTGATATTTTCAAACAGAGCAATTGCAAATACAACGCAAAACCTGGACTTTACAAAGCATGTGCTCATTAGTATTATAATTCAGTTTTTGTTTAGAAGCCATTGGTTTCGTGTAGAGCACGAA